ATTTAGGAAGCTAGAAGAAACAGGCTTTAAAGCCTACAAACTAGAGGGAAGAAGAAGAAGAAGATCAATGTCTTCTACATCAGAAACTTTCTAATCTAATCTCGGCGGCAAATAAACCACATTAAGTGGCATTTTCACAATCTGAGTCTTCTTCTAACAAAGCTATTAACTCTTTAGTAGTTAGTGCCACCTTCATTTCATATTTCGAGAATTTACTGAAATAAACAAATGCACTGCTATATAAACGTATTCGTATGATAATAGTTTAGCTTACTTCATTTTAATTTATATAAACTTCATAATATATTTTCATATTTATATAAACAAACAAACACAAGCAAACTTTCAAATTATGTTAAAAAAAATAAATATAACGTTTACAGCACACAGCAATTCTATAAATAGAGAATGATGCGTAATGATGTGTAATTAAAATTGCAGATTGTTGTTAGTCTAATGAAAAAAAAAAAAAAAAAAAAAATTATTTTCTAAAGTTTTCTGTTTTTTGAAGTTCTGTATTAGATACTCTCTAATATGAATAAAATTTTATTTTATTTTGTTAAACAACTATAAGATACCTGTTAAAAGAGACATGATAATTTAATAATTAAATCGGTCTTAGATTTAATTTTTACGTAATTACTTATGTGTTTAAATAAAGAATTAAATTTTTTTTTGGTACGCCTACGCCTCTGCAAAATTGATAATTTCAATACGATTTCGTTGAAAAGTTATCGTTAAGCGCTTCGTTAAGTACGATGTTGCCAAGTAATCACCTTCAATTAAAAATTGTTTTAGTTATAGTTATAAACCTATCTTAAATCTTGTGAATTATGATTGTGGTTAAAATTATGTTTCTGACTTATGATTATGTACTATGTCCGTTTATAAACCTGGCTTAAATAGTGTTGAAATTAGTTTAAACCAGTGAAATAACTGTTGATAAAATCTATGTCCCTTTATTGGTCAATACGCACATCCCCGAACCAATAGCACCATAGGTTAATGAGCTGTACTCGTTAATTTTCACTGCCGCCACAGACAAGTCTGGATGAGTTGCTGTTGCAATTTTTTTCGTATAAAAATGTGTTCGAGATTTCGGTAAGTTTTTCTATGAATTTGATATAATTTTTGGTGGATTTTATGTAATGATGTACAATATTTATTTTATGCTAAAATTAATCATTAGACGCATTTTATTTTGTTTATTGCGTTTTAATTTAGAGGTCGACTACTGGGTTTTCGATTTTTAAGGTTGATCCAGTACTTAGCCACAAAGGGCTGACTACTGTTTTTTTACGATTTTCTTAGATTTTGTCAAAATTAATACAGAAAATAGTCCATATTTTAAGCTTTGGATTGAATTAACCACTTAGATAACAAAAGGTTAATTTTACCAGTAGCCAGCCATGTATAAAAGTAAATGCACGATGAGGGCCGAGTAATAGACTTTAAAGTCCAATAGTCGGCCGTTAGTTCTTATACATAAAACTGGATCTTAATGCCTTTTAATTTTGATTAAATTTATGGTAGGGGTTTTTAACACAAAAATCTTTTATTATAGATTGTGATCATGTTGAAAAGACCAATCCACCGGTATTGTCGACAAGAAGAGCAATTGTCGAAAGCTATGACCGCAATAAGAAATGGGATGAAAATTAGAGAAGCTAGTCGAGTTTTTAGCGTACCACGAGTAACCCTACAAGATAGACTACATTTAAGAGTCCCAGAAGTACCCCGTAAAATGGGACCAGACTCAGTTCTTTCTAAATATGAAGAGACTGCCTTGAAACAGTGATGCAAAAACCTTAGCAAAATGTGGCTTCCCTTTAAAACGCGATCTTCTTAATACTGTCCATAATATTATTTCCCAAGAGGACACACCTAGACCTAACCCATTTGTAAATAATAGGCCGGGGAAAAAATGGTACCAGTCATTTCTTAGACGAAATACTGAGTTAATCGAAAGGACACCCGAAAATATATCTAAGGGCCGAGCAGCACTAACCCAAGAAAGTATTCGGAAGTGGTTTACTGAATTACTGAAGCACTTAGAAGATATAAACGCCATTGATATTTTGACTGACCCAGATCGTATTTTTAATGGTGATGAAACCAGTTTCTACATAGGTATGTCCCAAATCAGGAAAGGTTACTGCACCTAGAGGATACAAGAATGTCTACAAAATCGTAAAAGGCCAAGAAAAAGAGGGTGTTATAGTTCTTGTATTTATATCAACTTCTGGGAAGATTTTGCCTCTTTGTGTAGTGTTTTCATATGTAAGACCATCAAAAGATGTTATAAACAGTATGCCTGCTGGATGGTTGTTAGGAAAATCAGAAAACGGGTGGATGAAATCAGATATATTTTACGATTATATTGTTATAGGTTTGAACACATGGGCGATAGAAGAACACATCAAAAAGCCAGTTATCGTTTTTGTTGATGAACATAAAAGCTACTTAACAATGCGGCCCATTGAATATTGTTACGAAAACGGTATTATCATTTACTTTCACCAAATGCGACACATTTGATTCAGCCTACAGATGTAAGTGTATTCAAATCTTTAAAGTCACAATGAAAAGATACAGTACACGAATGGGCAACTCGTCCTGAAAATGTTAATACTATTTTGAGCAAATCACTTTTTGTTCATTGCTCAAAAAAGTTGTAGAAAAGGAAAATTTGCCTGTAATTATCAGCAATGCTTTTCGCAAGTGTGGCCTATATCCATACAATCCAAATGCCTTGGATTACTCTAAATATGTACAAAATATTATTGAAAAACATCAGAATTCCACTAAAAATGTTAAATTTCCAGACAAGAAAATAAAGAACAGGCATTTGAACACCGACATCAAGATAATTAATCAGTTAGTAACGAGTTGAAAAATGCTGGAGTTGACTCAAAAATCTTTGTTGATGTTTTAAACACAGCAAAGAATAACGATCCTGAAACTCTCAGTTCAACCGAAAATTCAATTAGCCAGGCATAAATAAATGACTTAAGTTTTCCTAATCATACACATAATCAATCAGACATAGTGTCACAACAAGTTTAAGTTTACCAAATATAGGTGATTATACACAGGAAAATAATTTGAATAATTTGACAGAAAGTGGCTTAAATGACTTCGAAATTATAACCGAATTTGAAGTCATACCACAAAATCATGAAGTTCAGGAAACACAGCAATCAAAAGTTGCTGAATTTAATGCAAATGCGCCAGAAGATCTGAACTGTCACAAAGAACCTGCGACACATGATAGGTTGACAATATCATCTAAGAAATCTTAAACAGAAACAAACACTAACCAAGATAAGATGGAGGATGATAAAGAAAATCGAATGGAAGACGAACTTTTAGAAAACCATAACTAGGTATATTACGGAGAATATAGAAATAACAAATAAAGAGTGTAGGAACCCAAACTTCACCGAAAATGATATTTTGCAAGAAAATAATACACAAAATATGCAAAGCAAATTAAATGACAATCCAAAAAACTTCAAAAACAAAATAAATATCTTGTCCAATATTGTTGTCAAATCAACAAATCTATCACCCGTTTTAGGTATTTAACTTTACCTAGTACATCTAAGACCATAAAAAAGAAGATGTCCATTAATAGAATAGGAGCCATTTCCTCCAATGAGTGGAGACAGTTTGAGAAACAGAAGTCCAAAAAAATTAAAAAGATGAAGAATGGTATAACATGCACAGTGAGCAGAAGAAGGTGTGACTCGTGTGAAGAGGAACTAACTAGTGACACAGAAATAAACGAATTAAAGAATATTGGTTGTGACAATTGTTCTACGTGGTATCATCTAAAATGTACTGAATTTGCTGGTAACGTTTATGAGAATGTATATAATAAAGAGTTTCGATGCCCAACATACAAGAATAAGTAAGTGGCTGACTACAGGGTAGACATGGGTGACTTGCGGAGAAATGAGGCTGACTACAGGTGAAAAGTGCCATATTTTGTTAAGTGCTTTTTTTTTATAATTACAACATAATAATAACATTTAGTTAATCTCTTTCGATAATTTAATAAACAAAGTTTCTGATAGAAATATTTGTTTTTATTTAACGCATTTATTTTTTTATATGCAATTGAAACAAATTAAGATTCTCACTAAAATGCTGACTACTGAGTGTTTTACCTTATACTTATTTGAAGGATACTATTCCAAAAAATATGCTAATCAGGTTAAATATACCTGATTTTGTAAAGAATCGGCAGATAAAAGGAAACCTAAACGAGAAAAGCCTTAACTATACGTGGAATGATACGTGAAATTAGCAAGCAAACTCTAATGAGGAACTATTTATACTCGAAATTAAAGATTTCTGGAAAATACCAGCGCCAATAAATCATATAATACATGTTCATAAATGTATAATAATAATCAATGCTTAACAAATGTCATCAACACTATCTACGCAACAAAACTAATGAGTAAAAAATATTCACACAACATGATAGAAAGAGATTTATTTAGGTCTGTAAAAATAATAAAAAACTTTATAGTTAAACAATACTAAAAAACTATATTAAATGATAAGTCAAATAAAGAAGTAAGGAATTGAAATATGGTCCTGTTTCCATCCATGACTTGAGCTTAAAAAATCTTAGTTTCTCCTACGGATGCGGCAGTCAACGTGTTAAAAATATATAACAATTCCTTGTACTTTTATAAAAATATGTTATGTGTGATATAAAACAAACATAAATATAATAGAATTTTAAACGTTTTTGAAGATCGGTTTAAATATTAGTTGATAAATAAAATAATACCTACTAATGGACTATAAAATATGCCTTTCAGTCGTCTTAAGATTTTTCAGGTAAAATGTATATTTACCGCAATTTTTAAAATTCAGTGAATGTTTTAAGGGAGACATGAACACGAAGAACAGATGGTTAATGAGTTTTAAGAAGACTGACAGTCCATATTCACATACTGACAGAACTCATCAAATATTCTTACCAAGTGCAGGTGTATCATCCTGAAGTTCAATAAGAACCCTTCCCGACAAAAATTGACCCGGAAAGTACAATAAGGACGTGTTATCGAATAGAATGAGGAATTTCAGTAATTTTCTTGGCATCTTTTTATTTTATCACTCATTTGTAGCGGGCACTATTGTCTACACAGTAATTTAACAACACTTCTTCACCTTGGACATGACTGAATGTTGGGTGTACCAATACTGAATCGGTGTGCCTAATCACTTTCAACAACATACAGGTGAGGGAATGGGTATTTCAAGGCCTACAGGTGACCCCGTGAAAACAATTTCGTTTCTTTAATTTTAACAAAAGCATATTACCAAAATTTAAAGGAATTTTTTACATCAGTTCCGCTAATTTAAACAATATTTAAAGATGTAAGAGAAAAATTAGTAACAGATGGTTTAGCGGTCAATTAATAAAAATAATTTTGTTTGCTTAAGTTAGACAACCAACAAAACGTGTAAGTAAAATTATTGTAGAATACCTTTTGTTCCATTCTCTAATAAAATAATGGGTTTCAGAATATTTTAAAGCAGATCTTGATTAAAAGGCATACATACATAAATTGGTTTACTTTTAATTTTTTTCATACTTTGGGATTTAGAAGATAAATACGGATATCCATTGCCCTTGCTCATAAAATATTATAGTGTAGGTAGATCTTTTAGGTACCTCACTTTAAAACTACTTAAAATTAAGAACATATTTAATAATATGTTTTTATTTGGCTTGTTTTTTCTATTTCATAATAAAGACTCGATACAGGACAGAAAATCGCAAACGTTAAAAAAGAAAAAACGTACTTATACAACTCTTGTAAAATATGTAGGTATACTTAATAGATATTTTAAACAGCTCAAGTGCTGATATATTTTATATCTAGGTTATTTGACCATTTTTTTGGGAATTTCCATACTTACTCTTACTGGAAGTCCGCAAACTCTTGTGATTGTGTTGATCAGAGTCATTCTAACTAGTCTTAGGTACCAGTTTTTCTGCAATTCTTAATTACCTCATTATATCTTACATGCTTCGTGATATGAAATCATAGACCTTTTTGAAATCAATAAATAGTATTGGTGTAATCCTACTATTCATAACTTGTAAGATTGATAAAAAATAAAATAAAATAAAAGAAAATATAGAATAGAAGCCGAACAAGCGGTAAAATTTAAAAAAAAATACAATTCATTGACATGACCACATTGTTATTGTCTCTTTTTTTTATCTTAGTTAAAGTTGGCCTCCGAATTGCCACTTGTTAGTTTAAAAGCGCGTTCACATAGGTAATATATTCTTCTTGCTACATACTCCCACTTTGGGTTACAAAACCGACCTGGTCATGATACAACAAAACAAGCAAAAAGTATTTACAGGTCTAAAAAGTGGCGTTTTGGACAGGACACTCGCAAAGAACGACCCACTTCCGAAACTGGTGTAGAAGAAGCACTATTGTTAGTCTTCGGAATATCTGGATTCGACGTGGGCATTTTAGTAGTCGGAAGGAGTGGATATGCAATTGATACTAAATTCTGACCCTCGACTGTAGATGGAATCCGTCTGGCACGTCCTCGTCGTCGAATGGGATGGTCGTAAGGATCAGTGGTAATGTATCTGGTTAAAGCAGACACATAGTAAATACTTAAAGGCACAGATGAAGTATCAGGATTTACGAAATCAAATAAATTAGGACTTACTCTGGAGATTGAATAAGATCCATCTCTGCGGGGTGCAAACTTTGAAGTTATTCCCGCTTTAGCTTTGCTCAATATTTTACCAATACTAAATCTGATAGTTAGAATGCTTCACCATGTGTTCATCAATACCAAAAATCATTACTTGGAGTATTTGATCCAGACGTTTACTATCAGCATATTTCTTCCTAACACCTTGTTAAAGCTCATGAGTTTCTCTGGCTTGATTTAAGATATCAGCAAGTAGACGTAAATAAGGTTTAATCTGAGGTACAAAGTTATCACTTTCAACTATAGTTCGAAAATCTCATCGAATATCATCTGGGGTACATAGTTCCCATCCAAAGGTAAGATAAACAGGTGTGAAACCAGCAAACTTACAAACAGTAGTATTCATAGCAAAACGAATACACGATAGCTTTCTTTTCAGCTAGTATGGTTAGTTGAAGTCAATACAATCAATTGGGTTTTCTGGTTACGGCTCTTGCGTTCAACCGAATTTGCAGCAGGGTGATAAACGGGAATCAGATTCTGACTAAATCCTAAAGGTTGAGCTACAGGTTGTATGACATCACTGACGAACTGTACTTCATTATCGCTGACAACTTTCCTGGGAGTTCCAAATCGTATCATAATCTCATCAATGGATCGCCTGGCGCAGGATTTAGCAGTCCAATCTTTAAGGGGAAAGATCTTCGTCCATCTATAAAAAATCCACCTCGGTAATGGATGAAAAAGGTCAATAGCAATAGTTTCAAAGCGCTGACTTTGAACTGGGGTTTGAAGTAATCCAGCGGGTTTTAGATTTGTTGATATACATTTTAACACATACCTATCAAAAAGTATCAATGTATGATTTTCTGTAAGGTGCGCTCTACACCATAATGGCCAGCAAGAGGTGAATCATGAGTTTTGTAATACTTCCTTGATGGAACATTTTGGCACAGCTTACTGAGTTTCCTTTCTATCATGGTCAGGGGAATAACGATATAGGGTGTCATTCATAATAATATATCCCCTCTTACTCCATTTTTGATTCCAACAGCACTTTCAGTATTCTCAAAACACTTGATAATAGAAGCGACATATTTTTTTTGTTCCATAACCATCACTACGATGATGATTATTACAATTACAATTTGGTCATTAGCTCAAAATGAGCAATTTTAATTTAACCTAAATTACTACTGTTCCTTAAAATTAAGAGTTTACCCTATAACGTCTCTTATCTTAACTGACTAGATAGTGCACTACTCTAACATGTACACGCTTACAAGCACTATGATCACTCAAACTAGTTCAAAAGGTTTTGTCCTCTTCAATCTTCTAGTTTGCCCAGTAGTATCGAGGAGCTGGATTGCCCCAATATTCTCGTGCCTATGAAGTCGTTACTCGTGGCTTCCTGCCGTCTTCTTGATGATTATGTCCACAGTTTCCACTCCTAGGTATTCATAAAGGTCACTGTTTGTCACATACCAAGAAGCATCTACAATATTTCCCAGTACTTTATTCTGGAATCTTTGTATTATTGTTATATTGTGGCCCATAGTGACCATCAATTCCATTCTGTCCAAAGTCCATTCAGGTCTCAATATTTGTTTGTAAAATAATAACTTATTATGCATCGATAATATGGAGCTTGTTCCAACTAGCCAATACATTTTTTTGTACCTTATATTTAGTTCCTCCCTTTTTCTTTACGTGGGCCTTCCAGCGTATCTTTGCATCTAATGTTATATCCAAATACTTAGCAGTTTTTGCATATGGTATTTGGATATTATTGATTATAACTGGTATATATTGTATTTTTTTGTTGGTGAAATTACCATAGACAGATTTAGCTTCATTCAGCCTGATTCTCCATTTTTGTGTCCATTTATGGATTAGGTTAAGTGCTATTTGGACATTGTTGGTCACTTCTTCACTAGTCGTTCCTAGTGATTGGATAGCTGTATCATCAGCAAAGGTGACAACTGTGTTGTCTACTAGTACATGTATATCACACGTGTATAGTATAGGGCCGGACTCTACACACTGCCTTGTATACCTGCTCTAATTTCTGTCTGAAAAAGAGTGTTCTTGCTTAATTCTAAAATGTCGTTCTTTTATGTACGATTGTTAAAGTTTTGAGTACTGTTTAGGTAAAAAACATTTTAGGTTATGTATTAAACCTTCATATTGTTACTAACACGTAGCGTGTCTCCGTATAGCGGCTGCATCTCGAAAGCGACTCGATGCTTCCAGAAACATCTGTCACGTACGCCTAGAGGTGGGAACTTTCTAGAAAATAGTAACTTTGGTATATATATGTAACGATCTTAGGAGTTAGTTAGTTGAAGATAGTATCGAACTGTAAAGTTATCTTCTTCTTCTTCGGGTTCCTTCTCCTAGCGGAGGTTGGAAATCATCATCGCTATTTTAACTTTGTTGGCCGCATTTCTGAATAATTCTAATGAGCTGCAGCCGAACCACTCTCTCAAATTTCTTAGCCAGGACATTTTGCGTCGTCCTGGGTTTCTCTTCCCTTGTATCTTCCCTTGCATAATCAATCTCAGTAATACGTACTTCTCACCCCTCATTAAATGTCCCAGATATTGAATCTTTCTAATTTTAACAGTTTTTATGACTTCACATTCTGTAAAGTAAAGTTATAAATAAATATATTTATATAAATTCGAACCGCTCGTTTTATTTAAAAACGGTACAATTGGTGTCACCGTGTGAGGACAATTGATTTGAATATAAATTCAACAGTAATTTTTGAAAAAGACTTTTGAACTTTTGAAAAGTATTGTTTGTCGGGAACATCCGCGTAGTTCAGTAGTGATCGTTGTACGAAAGAACATTTAAAAAGTACGTGTGTGCCTGACCTAAGATGCTGCTAGTAGAACTTTCAGTGAAACAGTTGCGTGAGCAACTAGAAGAACGTGATGAAGACTGCAGCGGGTCCAAGAAGATCCTCCAAGAACGACTGAAGACTGTTCTCAACAAGAATGGAGACGACCCAGAGACATTCCAGTTCCAGTCAGCAGAAGAAGCCGTTTTAACTAAAATAATTGATGGAAAATTTGAGAATGTCTCACAAATGATCGAAGAGAGTTCTAAAAAAATGATGATAAATTCGAGACTGTTTCCAAAAGATTCGATGAAACGTCTTAAATGATTGAAGAAACTTCGCAAATTATTAAAGAAGTAGCTAGACAAAACGACGAGAAACTCGAAAATGTGTCAAAAAGATTCGACGAGAAATTTGAAAATGTTTTTCAGATGATGGAAGAAACTTCGAAAAAGAATAATGAGAAATTTGAAGAAGTTTCCAAAACATTCGAAAAAGTAGAACAGAAGATCAAACAGTTAGAGAGCATGATAACTAACACAAAAATGCTACCACCAGTTAACAC